AAATAAGGACGATAAATCAAGTAATATGTATATACAAGTACATTATTTAAAGATCTAATTTATATTTGAATTGCAAACTCTATATTAAGAAAATCAAAAGATAAACAACACACTGGAAAAGAAGATTTGCAACATACGTTCAATACAACATTTGTAACATTCAGAGATTGAAAAACTAATTTAAAAGGAGAAATAAATCAAAGCAAAGTTACCTGTCTTTAAAGGATATAGTAACCAATTCAGAGGATGGGAAATCCATAGGACTGATAAATAACTAATAGTGATGATACATGATTTTTTGACCTCTTGATGAAATTGAATTTTAAAAATTAATAATTGCTGTGATACTGAATAATACCCGAGGGTAATACGCACTGGGGGAACTGAAACTCAGACATTTTCTGGTGGCAGCATAAATTTTTACATATTTTTGGAAAGTTATCAGAAAAAAAAATTTTTTAATTTAAAATATACATAGTAGTTAAGCAAACCCAGTTTGGAGACTATGTCTTAATGATCACAAAGTGCCACTGTCAAGATCATACCTGTGGGTTTGCACTGCAGGATGGTTTGTAGGTAAAAACCTGGAAGCAACTTAACCGTCTTCCAGTTGGGAAATAGACAAATGATATTATAATACACTAATGTTATTGATGATTATAAAGTTCTTACAAATAACACATCAGGAAAAGACTTACTGACCTTGGAGAAGACCTAAAATTTACTGCTAAACAACACAAGTCTAGATATTATTACTATTTTTACAAAATAGGAACCTGCAGAGTGAGCAGCGCAGGACTGGTGCAGGGGCTTCTGGAGGTCATCAGCGGCCAAGCCTTGTTCCGTTCTTCACTCCACTAGCCCCAGATGCACATGACCCTTCCCAGCCCACTTCTTACAGACGTGTTTCAGACTGACAGAAAGGAAAAGGTGCAAAAAGCTTAGCAGGAGGCATCTGGGCCTGTCTTGTTTTAAAAACTTTTCCAAAAGCCCAGCCAGTGACAGCTCCATCCTTCTCACTGCCAAGAGCTGTGTCTCATTGCACTCTTCTCTGAAAGGGAGACTATGATAGTAAATATTTTAATAGAGCACACTGACAAACCCTCCTCCTAATAAAAATAAAAAAGATTCTATTTGTAAGGTAGAAAAGAAAAATGAGTATTGGATGAGTGACTAACAATGTCTGCTACTCCTATGGATATGCACATATGTTTCATAGGATTGTATGACTAGAGACAAATGGGCAAAGAAATACAGCAATCTGCTAAGACTGATTACACCACAGGGGTGTCGATACAGCATAAAAGAGATTATTAGCATCCTACACCATTTTGTACTGTTTCACTATAAACACGGGCACTTTTTATTTTAAACAAAATAAATAGAGATAGGCAAATGAATATGAAGTTAGATGTAAATATGTCACGAAAAAAAAACTAAAATACAATGAAGAACTTATTTTAAGTTGCATTAAACCCTATAGTAGAAAGAGGCTACTGGTTACAAACAGCAGAAGGTTTAAAAAATGAAAAGTAAAGAGTAGTACTCTTTTGGAGAATGGATGCACAAGAAGGAAAAAGTGAGACATTTTAAATACTTCCATACTCGTCTAATTTTTAAAAATATACACATAATAATTTACTGTATAAATAATAAAGACTTACTTGGATAACATTCAACAAAATGGATTTGAAGGAGGAAACAGTGCAGTGAATCAGCCATATTCGTAGGAGGTAAGTACTTGAGGCTGATGGGCTTGGAGGGAACGTTTAACAGATAAGCCTGGAAATGCAGTTGAAGACTCATTATGGAGTCCTGTGGTGTGACACCAGGACAAAGAGTTAAATTGATCTTGCAGTCAACAGAGATTTATGTTTACATTTAGCTAGAGCTGGAATAATGAATGTCTAACTTTGGAGAAAAAAATTGGAAATAAGATTCAGGAAGATGAGGGAGATAGTGAGATGTTCATTTAGTTAAATTGGGACAGAGACGACATCTGATTGCTCAGAGATATGGATATGGTATGTGCAAAGGGAATAAAATCAAGAGACTCTGGTTGTTATCTAGATGGAAAAAATCCCATTATCTTGTAGAGAAAATAACATTTATTAACAGTTAAGTTTTATTCAATTTAAAATAACCACCATTGTTTTTCAGTTTTGTATGCTAGCTTTGGGTGTCCTGAAACAAACGTGTGAAGAAATTTGTATTCTGAGTAGTGAACATATGTTTGCATACTGAATAACACATTTCACCATAAACACAGTCTACAAAGAACATCCTTTCACACCATGGAAGGTCCTGTGAACTTTGAGTCTCAACATGCTCCTTCAAGTTGAGACTGTAAGTTAATGGTACCTCTAAACCTTCTGAATAATGCAAAGTGGCATGTGAATATATGTCAGAGTGTGCATGAAAGTGCATATGTTGGTGTTGAATGTTTTATTTGACCCAACATTTGTTTAAATTTTAATTAAAACACTAGTAACCTAGGCTTTTTAAATCACACAGAGTAGGCTATCCTGTGGTAGCAATCATGAATACCAGTGGATTTAAACAAATAAAAACCAACAAGGAATATATCTCATTCTGGCTTATAAATTCATCATGAGTTTTCTACTCTATGGGACCCAGGTGGATGGAGCTTCCTCTGCCGCTGTGTGCCCAGCCACTGTGTGGAGAAAAGGGGGCACACGTGGTCCCTTAATGGCTTCTGCCTGGAAGTCACAGATGCTCTTTGTGGTCATATTTTAATTTCCAAAGCAAGTAGTGTAGGTGCTATTAACTCCCAGATAGGAATATGCCATGAGTCCAGGAGAAAACTAGAATCATAGGAGCTAGAAACATCCTAACATCTAACACAGAAATGCATTCCTTTTTTCCTCACAATGAGAAGACAAGAGACTTTTGGTAAGCCAAAAGAGAAAAAAACCGAGGTGAAACAAGTGTTTATACCTGGAACTTAACATTAAAATATTTTGGATAGTGATACGGAGTAACAGACATTTGAATGAACATTAGGTATTGGATCAAGCTAGAACTATGAAAAAGAATAGAATTTATATCTTATCCTCAAGGTTTTTTTTTTTTTTTTAAATACAGGTTTAGCCATAGTTTCCAATCAAACACACAGGGGATTTTTATGTTCTTTATAATGGATGAGCAAATACCACATTTTAGTATTTTTGTAGGTTATAAAAAGGAATGTATTTCCTAGAAGACCAAATTTAAAGGAAAATCTGAACAAGAATTTTTATATAGTACTATCTCAAGTCGTTATTTTTAAAGTTTCATTCAATGTGCTTTCATGAATCTCTGAAATCAGAATGATTGGTGAAAAAGAAAACTTCATGTAATATGGTACAGAATGTCAAGAAACATCTCCTTAATTTTATTCTATTCAGGCCATAAATAAAGAAAAAGACAATAAAAGAGAAACAGACACTGTCCTTTTCTTTCAGCTAATTTATACCCCTTCCCTAAAAGTCAGATACATTTATTAGCTTCAAATCTAAAATATTATTAATATAGTGATATAATTTAATTTTTTAAAATTTTTTAGAGAATTAAAAAAATAATGTAATGAGTAGTTTCTGGCTACCAAGCAGTAGGTAGATATTTTACAAATATATGTTCTTTAATATATATAAAACATTCCTAGGGGTAAGTGTCACATCCAGTGAATAAAAAAACAGCTTTATTGAAATATAATTAATATATCATAAAATTCACCCTTCTAAGTACACAATTGACCATTTTTTGCTATATCATGTTCACCACTTTGGAAAACTATTGTCATCCCCAAAGGAAACCCAATACCTGATAGCAGTCACTTCTCCTTCTGCCTCGCCCAGGCCTTGACAACCATTAACTTATGTTTTGCCTACTCTGGCCATTTGATATTAATGTAATCATACAATTACATACTTGTGTGCGTTGGGCATAACGTTTTCTTGGTTCATTCATGGAGAGTATGTAACAATGTTTTCTTCCTTGTCCTTTATGGTGGAATAAGGTTCCATTTTATGGATTAATAATGCTGATATGAATGTTGTGCACAAGTTTTTGTATGAACATAAACCTTCAGTTTTCTTGATATATACCTAGGAATAGAACTGCTGGGTGATGTAACAACTCCCTCTTTAAATTTTGAGGACCTGCTGAAATGTCTGTCACAGTGACAGAACCACTTCACAGGCCCACCAGTAATGTCTGTGAGTTTCAACTTCTCCAGAACCTCATCAACATTTCTAAATATGTCTTTTTTATTGTAGTCATTTTAGTAGGTGTGAAGCACTATTTCATTGTTGTTCTGATATGCATGTCACAAATAAATACCTTTCCTTTGCATGTGCCTCTTGGCCATTTATATATCTTCTTTGGAGGAAAGTCAATTCAAATTCTTAGGTAAGTTGTAAATGTTGTTTACATATTCAGAAAACAAGTGCCTCATCATATATGTCACTTGCTAAAATTTTCCCTCTATTTATTGTCATTTTTTCACTTCATTAATAATATTCTTAGAAGCACAAAAATTTCCATTTTGATGGAATTCAATTTATTTATTTTTTCCTTTGTTTTTCATGCTTTTGTGTTGTATCTCACAAAACATTGCTTAATATAAGGTCACTAAAATCTATGCCTGTGTTTTCTTCTAAGAGTTTTATAGTTTTAGTTCTCACATTTAAATCTATGAATGTTTTGAATTAATATTTTTTTTTTACTTTCTGAGGTGTCACAGAACAACCCAAGTTAATGTTCCTAAGACATGTTAGGAAACCTCTGACACATTCTAATCTAACGGATAAGAGATTATTCCTTAACAGAACTGTTTGATTTGCGTACCATGTGACCCACGGGTGGGCTATAAAGTCACATTGAGTTTGAGCTTTCTCTTCTGGGTCTCCCCAGCATCTGTGTCATCTCAGCAGCGTCTCTGTCCTCGGCCTTATCAACACAAGCCATTAGTCACAAAGAGGCAGATTCCATATGAATTTACCATCAGCTCACCTAGCAGGCCCCAAAAGTTAGCAGAGTCTCACTGGGGAGGACGGTGCTTGCTGGACTATCCTCAGACAATGCCAGGGCACTCAGCAGGCATGAGCCCTTGGAGGAAGGCTGAGGAGTGAATGAATTTTTTTATATGGTGTGAAGTGTGAGTCCAACTTTATCCTTTCACCTGTGGATATCCATTTCTCCTAGAATTACTTTTTGAAAATGCAATTCTTTCCTTATGGAATTATCTTGGCATCCTTCTTGAATCACATTGCAGTCTTACAGATGAGCAAGCCAAAGTAAGAAGCTAAGAGAAGTGAAAATAGTGTCAAGAACATAATGTTCTGTTAGTGATAGAGAGAAATTTTCAAGCTTGAATTGTCTGCCTACAAGTCTTTCCATCATAACAGAGCTTTTGGGCTCTGGATCCTCGTGAGTGGAGGAGGGTGCTATGTATTTTGGGTTATTATAGCATCCATGAATCTATGTTCCAGTATTTAAGGTTTGTAGACTGAGTATAAAAGTGCTATAAAAGCTCAACTATTATAAGATAGGGAATTCATGATAATTTTTGACATTCAAAAGGAGACTCCGTGTGTTTGTGTGTATAAATTGTGGTATAACATACTGTACTGTTTTAGTTTTTTAAAGTAATATTTCAGAATTTCAGGAAAGTGCATAAAAAGAATAACACATTTGTTGTATACTATATGCAGTTCCAACGACTTTACTCTTGTTTGGATTACTCCCACAGAAAAGAACGTGTTGGCACTGAGACCAAGGTAGCCACTAGCCTCGCAGCCTTCCTCACGAATGCCTGGACCAATGAGCCAGTGCTGGCCGTATCCTTCAACATCTGGGGCCTCCCTATAATCATGCCATGCTTAGCCACTGCACCAAGTACTCTAGGGTGATCAAGAAGGCCACACCCTACAACTATCCACCAGTGCGGGTCCGAGATGGTGGGAACATGCCAGATGTGCCCAGCCAACCCCAGGACCCCCAGGACCCGAGCTTGGAGTGGCTGAAGAAATGGTAAGCACCTCCATCCACAGGGAAGAGGCTCCCCCTCTCTCATGGCCCCCAATAAAATCTTGACCAAAAAAAAAAAAAAAGAAAAGAAAATATTTGGAGTCCTCACCTAGACACACGTTTTAATGAAGAGTTGCAAATGATTTCAATAATCTGAACTCATAAAATTAATGAATATTTATTGGTGTTTGACAGAAAGCTTGTAACCTTTTCATCACAAATTTTTAAAAAAGTTTCCTTGAGGGATGATTAATTGCCTCCAAATATCTAGACGTCATTTAACTCAAGTACATATTTGTATAAATTGGGGTAATTCATGTGGGGTAGACTTTTTTAAGGGATCCTTAAACTTTAATATTAAGAATAGCAAAATTACAGAGTATCTTTCTAGTAGAAAGTCAATCTCTTGAAATAAAACTTAAGTATGTTAAAAATAAAGATGTCAATATATTTTTAGTGAAGTTTAGAAAGTTATTTAGATTAAAACTAACAAATATTATGGTTTATGTGTTTAGATTCAAAGTATAAGGAATAGAAGAGAATTGCATTACATATATTTACACATATGTACATGTCATTAAAACTTTTTTTCTGTTATAGATGCTTCTACTCAGCATATTTGGAGCACACGAATAATGATTTTAGAAAGTGAGTTTATTTTTTGTATGATCCAACTGACCTTTTCCATTCTACAGTTGAAAGTGAATATCAAATCTTTTATCTCTCTTTTTTTGAGACAAAGTCTCGTTATGTTGCCCTCAGTAGAGTACCATGGTGTCACTGCTCACAGCAACCTCTAACTCTTGGGCTTAAGCAACTCTCTTGCCTCAGCCTCCCAAGTAGCTGGGACTATAGGCGCCTGCCACAATACCAGCTATTTTTTTTTTGTTGCAGTTGATTAGTTGGCCCTGGCCGGGTTTGAACCCTCCACCCTCAGTGTATGTGGCTGGCACTATAACCAGGCACAATAAACGGCTGGCACTATAAACAGGCACCAAGCCATTTTCTCGCTTTCTTTTTTTTTTTTTTTTTGGCTCACACCTTTGGTCAGCTTTCATGCTCCTTACAGGTATAAATTTATAATATTGCTCACTTAGCATTATGATGAATATTAAAATACACTAGAAAGATGTGAAAAATTTTATAGCCATCCAAATAAAATTTTTTACAGCACTTATAACTATCTGTGCAGTTGCTGAATTCTATTTCGCTTCACCTTTCTGTCTGATTCAGCACACTATCCAATTTCTTTGAACAGTGAGTTGCACTAAGGATTTAAAACATGAGGGAATCCTATAAGTAATGTTTTTATTATTGGTGTTGGAGTTATCACTGTGTAAAATCCTTAAAATGAGCCAGTTGGGCACACACTTTTGAATCAGTTAAATTATCTTATATTTAAATGTTAGCCTATTTACACTTTACTTATTAAAAAATGAAACAGAAAAGAAGAAGTCAAAAATAAATCTTTGACAGATGAGTTAAGTATGAGCAAATCCAGGTAAGAACATTAGATGTAGAAACAGTCATTTTAGAAATATTCATAATTTGAATACTTGATTATATTTGTTAAATCATTTGGCTGAAAGCTCTGTTACCATTATTGTTTTCATCATTGATTTCAGGAGCTATAAATCAACTTAAAACCACTCATTTTTACCCACTTAGAGATCTGCACTAACTCCTGAGCCAGCAGGTGACCCATTAATTTAAGAGACTCATTAGACATAATCAATATGACTCCAGAGCTTATTAGCTTTAGAGTTTTAATACTCAATGTCTCTGGCAGAATGAAGATTATGAATTTTATTTAAATCACATTTACTGGGGGAATTATACATGTTGTCATAAGGTAAAAGCTGATCTTACTTTAATTATTTGAACAATATTAAAGGTATCATTCTTAACTTGTTGATTTCACAACTTGTTTAGCATTTTATATTATGCAAATGGCTATGGGATATAGAACACGGTCAATATTAATTTTATAACTTGAATATGTTTTCTAACACAAAACCCAATAAACCACAAACAAAGAAAAAAATGAACAGTGAATAATGTAAGTAATTTCTCCTCATCTCTTCTAAATATTAAAATGTGCCAAGCCAACAAACAAAAATCCCAGGGTTTTCTGCAATAATAGCAACTAAGTACATTAAAAGGAATAAAATGCATAAATAAATGCTAACATAAAAAAGAGAGCCCCAGGAAAATCAAAACAATGGCTGACACAATACTTTAGGGGAACCGACAAAGGCAGGAAGAGCTGTGTCAAACCTCTGCTGAGCGTCTAACTCAGTGCTTCTCAACCTTCCTAATGCCGCGACCCTTTAATACGGTTCCTCATGTTGTGGTGACCCCCAACCATAAAATTATTTTTGTTGCTACTTCATGAAGTATGGTTGGGGGTCACCACTACATGAGGAACCGTATTAAAGGGCTGTGGCATGAGGAAGGTTGAGAACCACTGGTCTAACTAATGTCAGCTTCTATAGGAGATTAGGATAAAATTCAACTATATGATTACATAGATACTTAAGCTCTCAATTAAGAAATAATTCATAATAAGGAATAGCAATAGAAAATTTACCAAACAGTTATCCAAAGCATAATCATCTGTAAAACAATTACCACGAAGTAATGAATATGCAGTGCGGTTCCAAAGTTGTCTTTCTCCAAGAGTGTGGAGTGATAATTTAATATCTACCCTGGTCCTTCTGCAGCTTCAAAATCACCTTATTTTTTTTTAATCATTTTCTATTTGTTTTTGAATCTTACTCTTTATCTAGCAGGCACTATTTTGTATAAGAAAATTTACGTGCATTTTCCATAAAATTTGACATAAGAATCTTAAGTCCCTGAGTTTGCAACTGTATTATCCATTAAGAAGATTCATCTGAGGATTCAAATGGGGAAAAATAGCAAAAAGAAAAGAAAAGCTTTAACTTTTTGTGCTATTTGAAATGATCCCTTTGTGCAGAAGTAATTAAAATGTGTGTGTTCATCTTGCAGCTCCATAAAATATGGTTGCCCTTAAAATTTATGTTAAATTGCTAAAACCATGACATCACATGAAGTCAAAATAGCTGAAAATACACTGCTCATACTGGTATATTTTTCTTCAAGATAGAGAGGATCTAAAAACTAACAACAAAATCCAAACTTTCAATATTCACCTTAGATTATTTTCTTATCTGCTAATAGGATTAGTAGTTTTTCCTGTTGAATCAAGTGATGGTATTGAGGTTATGTATTGTAAATTTATAAAATGTATTGTAAATTGTGTTGTGAAATATATTGTAAATTTACAGATTTTATTAATTTGAACTAACTCAAATGACAATAGAATAATCAGTTTGTTAAATGTTAAATTGAGCTGCACTCTAAAGTCACATGGAATCTTCCAGTTTTAATTTGACTTTCTCCTGACCCACATCTGAAATTCTAAGGTTCTTGTTCTAAAGAAATTCAAAGACTAGAGTCAGGTTTCAAGATTTCACTCACAACAGATTTTTAAAGTTTTTTTCTTGATCCTTTTATGGTTTTTGATGTATTCTATTTCTTCACACAAGTAGATTTTAATCCAATACTTCTCTGTAATGTCATCAATTTCCTTGTGATTTCTGAAATTTCTTACAATATTTTTATAATCACTTTGAACTTTGATACTGTCCTTTGTCATATTCCCAATTACATTATTATTCTGCCCTTCGACCTTAATCAGGGCTGCTAAGAGGTGGTTTCTTCCACTGTACTTTCCAAAAGCCTGCTTTTGATATATAATTTTAATTTCTTCTCATTTATTCATTTTATTTCATTAATTTCAAGGAAAATGTTAAACACATTGTGAATAATCATTACTTGGGATATTATTCTGATTTTAATATACTGATTTAAATGTATAACTTGTGGCCTAAAAGGCTATCTATAATGGATTATTTAATCATAAAAGCAAGTTTTTATTTCTTTGAGTATGAAGACTGTTGACCAAATAAAGGCTGTTGATCATGACTCCCTTTTTTTTTTTTTTTTTTTTTTTATTTTGCAGTTTTGGCCAGGGCTGGGCTTGAACCCACGACCCCTGGTATATGGGGCCGGCA